GTTCTCAGTAGGTGAGAACATCGATAGTAGACAACAATATGCAACCTGGTGATAGGAGACTGCAACGAATAGGAGAGTCAACTGGACTCTATCACATGAGGATTTAGAACAAGAGGAATATGGAAAACCTCTTCCATGAGTGTCTCACAATTAAGAGTTCACAAATAATTAGCATGAGTCCCCTCCAAATTTCCCATTCACAGTTTATATTTAGATAGTAGCAGAATCAAGAGAAGCCACACAGGAATGGTCTGGAAAAGTCTGAATACCTGTTTGTACAGTATCAATCCAACCATGTCTAATCCTACTCAAAAAGGGAAGTCAGAGAAATTCCATGTATTAGTGGGGTTTAATTATCCCCTAATGAAAAAAATATTTACTGCACTTAGCAGCTCCTAATGACTTCTGGAACAAATACATTCCCAAGCGACCCAATTGGTGTCACTCTACTAAATAGCAGAGACTTCAGCTGACCTCACAGAAACCTGTGGCCCCTCATGCACTTAAACAAGTTAGAAGAATGGCTGGGGCTCTAGGGCCAGGAAAGGAAAGGCATCCCAGGGTAGGAAAAATAGGAGGAAGGAGAAACTTTTGACTCAATGGACACTAAATTTGTAACCTCTTCTCTATAACCATTCTCTGCCAAATTTATCCTATATTTTTCTGGTCCAATAGCAAATGTTCTTCTTGAAATCAGGAATTTCTTTCAAGCTTTCAATAATTCTCAGCAGGAAATCCTTACACAGAGTAATTTGAAGATTATAAGGGGTGAGAAAAACCACACAGATTTTTTGATCAATGTCCACAAAAATTTCTGATAGATCCTCTGTTTTTCAATATGTGACAAATCTGATCAAAAACAACAATAGCATCATGAGTGGTGTTTACGTGTATTCAAAGTTACATACGTAAAGTTTTAATCACATTGACCTATTCAGAGCTCTCTTAGGGACAGAATAAAACCCATAATTAACAAGTATGAAGTTCAATGTTTAAGTGACATTAAGAAACAAAAGCCAAGCAACCAGACACAGAGGAGGAGGTTAAGAAGTAGTAATGTCAAACTTGAGGTAGGCTTAATGAAACTCCAACATATGTCCCAGTTAGAGAAAAGGGGCCAACATAAAAATTGATTTTAACAAAAATAATACTGATATAGGCAGAAAACAACTTCAAACACTCAGTTTTTTCCTTAGTGTTACACAGTGTTCTTTGTATTATAGTTTTAATGGATTTAAAGATGGTAGGTAGATATTCAGAGGAAAAACATCATGCCAGTTTTACATTGACAGTTTTGCATTTTTCACTTGAGGAAAAGCCTTAAGATTGACTTTTAATCTTAAGGAAAGCATAAGGACACTTCTGGGTAGTCCTGAAGAATATATAACTTATTGGGAAACCATTTGTGCTTTGAGGAGTCTCAGCATCCCCATGTAGAAGAAAGGTAAAATAAGATTAGTTTGGGAAGGTGGTATAAAAGGGAAGGTGGTGGTATTGGCATGAGGTATATACAACTGTGAAGTATTCATCCTCGCAGATGAATGAGAGGTCCCTATCTGTGGAGACATTCTGAAGACAGCAGGTGTCCTGTGGATCAGGCTGGAGGAGGCAATTGGAAAGCAAGAGCTCTGCACATCCCATGACGTCTCCCACCTTCTAATTCTGTTAAACTTCTTGCTACCAAGAACACTCGGCCCTACCTCTTCACTATCTGAGTCTGAACTACATGCAGAGGCTTTTCAGGTCTGATGTCTGACATCTGGATCCTTGTTTTGGGGAGTTGAGGACTCTCAAGTGTTTCGGGTGTTGATTAACCTTTTCTTATCAGTAAGTTAATCATTACAGCACGCTACTTGATTTAATTTGTTTTTTACCTGTTACATGTTTCGGCTTCTTCTTTGCAGTCCCTGTCTGCATCTCCTCTGCCACAAATGTCATCATGGTCATGTCTGTCAGTTCTTCACCTGATCCAGGGGCAGAATGAACCTCCTAGAAAACAACCAGGAATTTCACTCTCAACTGGAAGAGAGAAAACAGTAGTTCTAAGACCTTAAAGAGAAATTTACTTCTGTCTAATTTTACGGTCTACTCCCTGGCCAACCAACTGCAGAAATACCATATGTTGCAAATGGTTTTTCAGTCACCAACGTGAGGTATGATCGATCATCTGTTTCCTCTCTTGAGAAACAAGATTTTGAATTAAATCTCCTTTCTTTCTTCAAAATAAATCCCATCATTAGCACATTTTTTTAGAAGTATAGGTTGATATTTTGCCTTTGATTTACTGACAATGGCATAATGAGGCAACAACAGCACAGCAACTTCTAGTTTAAGTGAGGTGTAGGGTGGGAATAGGGTTAATTCCCAGCTACCCATTTCTGCTGGAGGTATGGAAATGCCTTTTCATCTTCAAGAATAGCTTACTCCATGTTTAGCAGGGTCATCTCTAAACCATTTCAGATTCTAAAGACATATAACAATGTGTTTGTCTAATGGACTGCAACTAATGATCATCCATTCAGTTCAAACTTCCGTTGAGTAGTAACTGGACAGCATTATCTGGTTATGGTGGGAACAAATGTGACAGTGCACAGTACCTTTTTTAAAGAAGCTGAAGAGCAGTCTGCTGTTAACAGAAACTGTGGTATCCAGAAGTGACACCATGAAGATCAGGAATGCTATTGGTGAGGGGAAATCCCTGCTTCCTGGGATGCAGGCTCTTCTTATGAATGCAGAAGTACCTTCTCCCTGTAGTGCAGATGCAGGTGTTTCTGGGACATTAAAAAATATTTAGCACCCTTTATGTCTGTTCTTGAGCTGGGGAACTTTCAGGGATGGAGGATGGCCAGCAGGTCCAGAAGCTGCTGTATGTTCTGAACTATGATACATAAGGTCAAGATGAGAATGAGGGTAGGTGGGGGAGACCATCATCCCCAGGGAAACACAAGCTGTGCTGAAGGGCAGGGCCTTCCCTCCCACTGTCAGTCCAGCAATAGAAGCCCATTTTCCTGTTCAGTACAGTGGGCTGGTAGGACTAAAGGAATCATGGAAATAAGGACCTGTGCTAATTACTATGGTTAGAAAGAACCTTACCACTTCTGAGCTCAAATTTGCCTCCTTCACCAACTTTTTTTCCCAGAAATTAGTGGTATAATTTTTAATAGGGAAGGAATACCCAAAAAAGTAAGTATAGAAGCATTCTAAAGAATTCAAGAAATGAAGTTTGGAATAAGGAAGACTATATTTTATTAATTGCCTCCACCAACACAAACATTTATAGAGACAGCTGGGACCAAATGGGACACCAACCTCTGATGGAGGAATCATGACCCAGAGCTAGGACAGCTCATTTTTATATAGGTTTTATCATCAAAAGGTTATTTGTAGGGAAGTTTCTGCAAAGCAAGACGACTTGAAGTTTGCAGCACTCACAAAAAAATTGTTATTATCTTGTTATGCTCATAATTTTCTATCCCCTGCAGCTGGTGTCTGAGCTCAAGTTCAAAGCTGATATAGTTTCATGCCTTTGCACAGAACTTCCTAAGCAGGGCTTTACCATAACTTCTGGGCAATCTTATCCTCAACCTTTGCACAGAAAGTTCCCAGGGCAAAGTGCAACCACAGCTCTGAGGCAGTCAAAGACCATTGTCCAAGTCACCACTCTCCACAATTAATGTATTTCCTCAGAATCATATTATAAACATAGAGAAGAAATTTGAAGTTGAAAAAGAAAAATATCCCAAATAATCTGTTTGGTTAACTATGTATAGCATATGAGCACAGGCCAATCTCCTGGGTGCTAATAAAGGGTTTTGTGTTTGCTGCACCTCAATTTCCTACTCTGCCCATATGGTATATAATGATACTTACATCTTTGAGTTGCAGTGTCCTTATGTGTTAATTCTCTTAAAGATCTTACTTACAGCAGTACCTGGCATAGAGTAAACACCAATAGTGCCTTGTTCTAGTGCTTCTCATTTGACACAAATTTTATTAATGTTGGACATAGTTCTTTCAAGGTACTTATAGTCATAAGATTATACTTCACTCAAGAGCATCCAGATGCAATTTTTTATCTTGGAGAGGTTTGCTTTTTTCTTGAAATTCTGAGCACAAGGAAACATTCAGCCCTGTGGTCCTTGGGGGCCTTCCTGTGTGTACAAGGAATCAGTGCTTCATGTCCAGCTTAGTATCTCACTTAAGCAATTGTAGCTACAGTAATTAAAGTGGTCTAAGATTTAGAGATAGAAGTGATTCTGACTGCCAAATTCATTTAATTGCTCTTCCATATTTCCTACATCTTTGAACTTCTCTTTCATCATCTATAAATTGAGGATAATCAAATGTCCTGTATTTGGGGAGATTTCAAGAGGTGGGGGTTCCTGCATAGAGCCTAGGACTGAAGTTTCTGTTATCCTTGGTGTAGTCCTGCCTACTCTTCTGAAGGCAAGGTCCACAACAGCATGTACAGCTGACCACTGAGGAAGGAACATCTGTTTCTTCTCAGAATGTGAAGAGGGTAATGACATCATTAATTATGTGCTTGGGAGTTAACTACAGCTGTGTGAATCACATTTATTTGTGTGGTTAATATTCCATCCAAGCACAATGCACTATGTGGATTTCCACATGGAAATATCCTTGGCCAAATGAGAACTGAAGGGATATCTTTATGAAGGAGATTCAGGAAGACACCTGATTCATGATTAGAGAATATCTAGGGAGATGTCTAGGAATCTTACTCAGCACTTTCTCATATAGGGGAGGGCCTTTGTTTTACCTCCCCCCACCATTTTCCCATAGGCTATGGGAATTCTCCTTTGAAAGATCCTTGGGCATGTTCTCACCAAAATCTTTCTCAAAGCCCAGGTAATCTACTGTGCAACTCTGCAGTCTTAAATTTCTCTCTATTCCACTTCAGAGAATCCAGTATGCTCATTCAAGATGAAACCCAGGAGCTGTCCCAGAGTTAAGGAGGAAACTACAACAGTGGAAAGATGTGTCATTTATACTCAACCAGTATCTGAAGGACTTTCTCACCCAGGAAGACTCTGACAGCCACCAGGGGCAGGACCTCCATGAGCTAGCTACTGGCTGAGGGGCACAGGTTGGCAGAGTGGCTTGTCCTCAAACAGCCCATGTAGAGTTGCCAGAGACTCTTATTACACTGAGATGCTGCTCCAAGGTTGCTGGATCTCAGGATGTTCCACTCACCAAGTAAACTTTTGACCAGCTCTTTTGTTTTCCATGTCAGATTTAGGGTATGGCAATATCAGGACTGCCTGAGTGGGAACACAGAAGATAAATACACAGGATGAAAAGTCATAGCAGTCCAAAAATGTCCTTTCCTCCTGATTGAAAACAACCTCAGGATGAAGGGGAAGCATCTGTCTGAGAAGGAGAATGTGACAGAAGGCCCCATGTTAAACGACATCACTCTGAACTGGGAATGAGAGTGTCCCAGGCTCCACCCTGACTGCTTTACTTACTAACTATGGGCCAGGGATCTCTTTTTTTTCAAGAACATTTATAATCTTTTAAATTAGCTTAACTTCACAAGCAACTTGAGTGTTTTTTCATAACCAAACACTGCTGCTTCTCAAAATACATGACTTTACAGTCTATCCTGAAATTCTTGGCCTGGAATTGCTAAAGGTCTGTCTTTCACAGCTGGTTAATGTGTTCAATAAAAAAAAAAAACATCATTATGAAGCTTTATGTTTTCCTGGGGGAGGGGGTTACTGGGGATGGAACTCGGGGGCATTTGACCACTGAGCCACATCCTCAGCCCTACTTTGTATTTTATTTAGAGACAAGGTTTCACTGAGTTGCTTAGCAACTTGCCCTTGCTGAGGCTGGCTTTGAACTTGCCATCCTCTTGCCTCAGCCATCTGAGCAGCTGGGATTACAGGTATGCACCACCATGCCCAGCCTACACATACAAGCCACAAAAATTTTAAATTTTGTTTTAAGTCAAGTTCTGAATGCAATATATTACAGATGCTAAATTGTCATATGTTTTGATATATATAAATATTTCTATATACCCACATTTTGGCAAAGAAGATCAAGGACAGAGGTAGAAAACCGAAGGGGACAAGGTCTTACCTAATTCATGCAAAATAGAGATACCATCCTGTGGGCTTTGCTGAAGACCAGGGAGGTGATGCCTATGACACCCATCCCAACTCAGTCTTTAAGAGGTCAGGGAGGCCTGTGTAATAATGTAATATTCCCTCTTTTTCTAAAAAGTAAAAAAGAAAATCCATGAAACATAAAAATATCTGATTTTGTGTTCTTTGTTTTTCTAAGCTAAGTACACATCTTTCAGTACTTCTAGGAAGGTCTCATCATGTTTACCCAAAACATGAAAACACTTTTCTTTTCCATATAAAATAAATGAATTTGTTTCTTTTACATTGAATTACAATTCAATGTAAAAGACA